ATCGGCTGGGCCCTCAGCAGTGGCAGCTGCCAGGTCAGCCTTGGTGAGTGGCGACTCAGTTGCTGTGCCCATGCAGTGTCCATCGCAGCCCCCACGGCTACTTTGTGCAGGGACTCCATGAGCAAGCCCTGTGCGCTGCTTTTGCTTTACAGGAAACTTGACGCAGGTTGGTGTCCGGTGAAGAAAACCCAGGTGCATGGAAGGAGAGGAGGATCTCAGGGCTGTGAGTGATCTGCAAAAGGAAGCGCATGGACCACCAGGTGGCGCCGCTGCGCTGCTCCTGCTCCCACAAGGTGAATGCTCAGGACGAGTTTTGAGGTGGAGAGAGATGTCATTGCTCATCCTCCAGGTTCAAAGTAAAAACCTTCCAGCCAATCTTGGCCGCGCGTTCTGGTGTAGTGAGCGGGCTCGGAGGTGCTCACCGCTGCTGTCATGGTTCGTTTGCTAAACTGCATCGTCGCTGTGTCCCAGAACATGAGCACTGGCAAGAACGGGGACCTGCCCTGGCCGCCGCTCAGGAATGAATTTAGGTATTTCCAGAGAATGACACAGACTCTTCAGTAGAAGGTAAAGAGAATCTGGTGTTACGTGTAGGAAGATCTGGTTCTCCGTTCCTGAGAAGAATCGATCTTTAAAGGATAGAATTAATTTAGTTCTCAGCAGAGAACTCAAGGAACCTCCACAAGGAGCTCATTTTCTTGCCAGAAGTCTGGATGATACCTTAAAACTTACTGAACAACCAGAATCAGCAAATAAAGTAGAGATTATTTGGACAGTTGGTGGCAGTTCTGTTTATAAGGAAGCCATGAATCACCCAAGCCATCTTAAACTATTTGTGACAAGGATCATGCGGGACTTTGAAAGTGACACGTTTTTCCAGGAATTGATTTGGAAAAATATAAACTTCTGCTAGAATACCCAGGTGTTCTCTCTGATGTCCAAGAAGAGAAAGACATTAAGTTCAAATTTGAAGTATATGAGAAGAATGATTAATATGAAGGACTGGAGTACGTTCCACCCACACACAGGACAGGGAGCTGACAACCAAGGAGGGGAGGAGCAATACTCCAGCTTTCTCTACTTGTAATAAGTTCTCCCCATTGGCATAATCTTGTTCATAGTCTCAAAATTATTTAAACTGCTACTATATCTTTAGTGGCATATTTATCTATCATAATGTTATTTTATTCTTAATTACCATTCCCTGTTTTATTTCTCCGTCCAAAATAAAACAGCTGCTTTTGATCGGCTGGGCCCTCAGCAGTGGCAGCTGCCAGGTCAGCCTTGGTGAGTGGCGACTCAGTTGCTGTGCCCATGCAGTGTCCATCGCAGCCCCCACAGCCACTTTGTGCAGGGACTCCATGAGCAAGCCCTGTGCGCTGCTTTTGCTTTACAGGAAACTTGACGCGGGTTGGTGTCCAGTGAAGAAAACCAAGGTGCATGGAAAGGAGAGGACGATCTCAGGGCTGTGAGTGATCTGCAAAAGGAAGCGCATGGACCACCAGGTGGCGCCGCTGCGCTGCTCCTGCTCCCAGAAGGTGAATGCTCAGGACGAGTTTTGAGGTGGAGAGAGAGATGTCATTGCTCATCCTCCAGGTTCAAAGTAAAAACCTTCCAGCCAATCTTGGCCGCGCGTTCTGGTGTAACGAGCGGGCTCGGAGGTGCTCACCGCTGCTGTCATGGTTCGTTTGCTAAACTGCATCGTCGCTGTGTCCCAGAACATGAGCACTGGCAAGAACCGGGACCTGCCCTGCCCGCCGCTCAGGAATGAATTTAGGTATTTCCAGAGAATGACACAGACTCTTCAGTAGAAGGTAAAGAGAATCTGGTGTTACGTGTAGGAAGATCTGGTTCTCCGTTCCTGAGAAGAATCGATCTTTAAAGGATAGAATTAATTTAATTCTCAGCAGAGAACTCAAGGAACCTCCACAAGGAGCTCATTTTCTTGCCAGAAGTCTGGATGATACCTTAAAACTTACTGAACAACCAGAATCAGCAAATAAAGTAGAGATGATTTGGACAGTTGGTGGCAGTTCTGTTTATAAGGAAGCCATGAATCACCCAAGCCATCTTAAACTATTTGTGACAAGGATCATGCGGGACTTTGAAAGTGACACGTTTTTCCAGGAATTGATTTGGAAAAATATAAACTTCTGCTAGAATACCCAGGTGTTCTCTCTGATGTCCAAGAAGAGAAAGACATTAAGTTCAAATTTGAAGTATATGAGAAGAATGATTAATACGAAGGTGTTTTCTGGTTTATTTTAAGTTGTTCCCCCTCCCTCGGGAAAAAAAATATATATTTTTACATGAGAAGAAAAAGACTTGTTGACTTTGGATCTATGAATAATCATTTCTAAGCAACGTGTTTTTATTCTGCACTAGTCTTGAATATATCAGACACCATTTATGAAACCTTCTTGCTATAACTAAGTGCCTCTGCAAACCCCCAACTGAGTCCCCGCACCTGCTATAGTGAGCTGCCATTCCACACCCATCGCACATGGGACTCTGGCCAGTCCTTGACATTGTCGGGCTTTTCAAACGTTGGTAGTATTTATTAAAGATGAAGATGCACATACCCTCCAACTGAGCAGTTTCACTAGTGGGAAATACCGAAAGCTTCCTACGTGTGTATCTAGAGGTTTGT